ATATATATATATATATATGGGCTATTCCACATGAAGCGGATCAGTCATTTCTCAGAAATTTTTTTAATTTTGCACATAGATAGTACTATGGGAGGTAGAATTTTGTGCCAAAGGATTTTTTTTATTGCAAAATAAATCGAGATATAAACAATTAAAAATTAGACTACTTTATTCTTCAAAAATTCATAACTCTGTTACTAATAATGCTAGCTAACTTCTTTTTTTTCAAATACGCTAAAAATGTTCTAGTTTACGGGAAAAAAATGAAGATTCTAGAAAAGTTTTGTTTTCCATTGTTTATTTAACAATAAAACTTTTTAACAATTTTTTTAACAATCGGGGAGGGAGTCGAAAAATCTGAAAAAATATTTTTTATATACTTCATTTTTAGCGTATTTGAAAAAAAAAGGAGTTAGCTAGCATTATTATAGTAACAGAGTTATGAATTTTTGAAGAATAAAGTAGTCTAATTTTTAATTGTTTATATCTCGATTAATTTTGCAATAAAAAATCTTTTGACACAAAATTCTATCTCCCATAGTACTATCTATTATGTAAAATTAAAATCTGAGAGATGACTGATCCGCTTCACGTGGAATAGCCCATATATATAAAATTAAAATCATTCATATTATTTAGTTCATATATATATATATATAAAATTAAAATCATTCATATTATTTAGTCCACCATATATATATAAGATGAACTAATAATATGAATGATTTTAAGAGGTAATTCCTCACACAAATTCAAGATAAGAGACAGTCACATAGATTAAAGAGCTTCGAAAAGGCGAGAATAATGCTCACGTGATCCGGAATGGATGCAACGTGCTTCTGAAGGTAGAAATGGCTCAGTAAAATATCCAGCCATGAATAAATCGCCGATGGCAAGGCCGCGGACGCGGACTAACGGCCGCCAGTCTGGCGTCGATACTGCCGGTTGCAACATGCGGGCGAGGATGCGTTCGATACGCATCGCGAGCGTAACCACGAACTTCCCTTGCAAAACCGAACAGCGTCATTCTCTCGGAAGACTGAAACTATTTACGTATTGAATGGCAAATTTAGAAAGGCGCGGAAATATTCAACTGTGAATTGATAATATAATATTATGAGAAATTTTTGTTATTACGAGAAACAGACGTATATCAAATTATAGAAAGATACAGAAGAAGAAAATGAATTAAAGCGTTTGATAAAAACGTTTCCCATATATTAGTTTTTTGACAGTCTCTAGTCAGAAGTTAGGCGCAAAGATGCGATCAAAAATGCACCTCTCTGTGCCATACATGCAGGTTAAAATTTAATAATTTGATACGAAAATTGAATAAGTTTTTCTCGATCATGATAAGAGAACACTATAAAATAGGTACAACATTTGTTTTTAAAACGGTTGTCTTATTTGATTAATTTTTTCTAATGCAAGGCGAAAGAAGATGTTTGAAAAATATGCAGCATTGCATTGGTAAAATATATTTTATAAATTAATGACACTATTAAATCTATGTAGCCATGCATTCTTACTTATCTTATCATTTTCGGAAATCACAGCAAGTCGATTAAGAAACGTACAAGTTTTAGTCGGATGAATCGGAAATGCCGAGAGAATGTCACAATCCAAAGTGCATTGGAAGTAAAAAGAGACTGACGTAAGAAACTATAAAAGATAATTACGAATAAGAATACCAGAAAACTATTGCTTAATTATGTAACGCTTTGCATTCGAAAACTCCAATATTATTTTTATTAATATTATACTTATATATCTTTTTAAATTAAAATATAAATAAAAATAAGCTTTAGTTTCTTCGTTATTCTATTCCATCCATATATCAAACATATATATGAATCTTATTCTTGTTATTTTCATTATTTTTAAAGAAGGTTACATCTTGTCTTCATTTTCTCAAAGTGTTTTTTTTTCTCAAACGTTTATTGCACTAATGATCGCAAAACTGTGTGTATACGGGTATAAAATGCGTGTCCATGTAAATTGTATGTGAATGTCCGCCGTGCATAACTCGAGCCCGTAGGTTTGCTAAACCCAAATGACTGTGCGGATCAGTCATCCCTGCGGGAACACATCTCTCTTGTAAGCCTGTCACGAATCGCAGCATCTCGTGAGGATCCTAGTCACTTCGCAAAAAGCCGACAGTCGCAATCGGATTCTTTAGGAAATGCCGCGTCACCGAGCAGGATCTTCATGAAATGTCGCGTTTTACGATAAGGCTTTGGCGTATACACAGTTTAACTTCGCGCCATGCGCGTACCTGGAAAGTATTTTCTTTACCGCCGATAGCAGCCGTAAATACAAGAACAAAGAGAAAGATCCGCCATCAACGTCACGTCGAAGTTCTTCGGACAATTCTACGTCGCGAAATAAAAGGACGCAGAAGCCGCAGTCAAAGAGTTCCAGAGACGGCTCAAAAAACTCGAGAACGTCGTTTAAAGAGTTGAGAGATAACAAAAAGTAAAATAATTCACGTACTTACTGAAATATCCACTTAACAGAAAAAAAAATTATGTGATAAAATTCTGCAGCAGTAAATATAAAATTTTAGCTAATTTGTGTTTTTCATACAACGAACATTTGACAAATAAATATTAATGTAAGAAATGTAGATCAGATTCTTTTAGCAGAATTTTATTTTATTATAATTTTGTTTATTATCAATTTTTATTAATCTGAATTTTATTAATTTAAAATAACTTTCAGCAAGAAACGTCAGGTCTCGCGGTCGACCTCTGGCAGTTCGACTTCGTCACGAAAGTTGCGGTGAGACACAGGACGATAAATTCAATATTCAATAACATTGCGAAACCTTCCTTCTTTACGTGAAATAATTTCGACCTTGCTTTCCCTGCGTTCCTGGGAATCCTTTCTTTCGTACCAGCTTATACTGACTCAACCAGATTCCTTTCTAGACTAAAATAACAGTACACGACATTAGATGCCTAGTATCCTGATACATTAGCACTTGCTACTGTATTAATATCCAATACCGTTAGGCATTAATATTCAAGATAATAAAAATGAAAGAATAACAAAATGAGATATGGGAAATGTTTTTAAAAATATCAACATGCAAAAAAAAGATTATTTTAAACTCAGCATTTACGTTTATCACTCATACTGATCTGTATAAGGAAGTTAAACTAAAAAATTGAACGCGTTTACGTTCAAGATAATTGGCTTTATCGCACTTATTTGAATTGTATGCAGCACGAGCACGAAATCGAATACATTCGGACGAGTTTCCGGCAATTCCCGGGATTGTAAAAAGCAAATATGTACCTGTCGCAAAGGTAATGGAAAAAACATGTTAAAAAAAGTTCTTCAGACTCGTCGTGTCGAAAGACTCGCATTGTTCACCCGTGAATTTTTGGCAGAGCGTCACGGTACTCGAAGCGGAAATTCGCACGGACACGCAAATTCGCGGAGCACGGATCCCGTCGAGAGGAGCAGGAGGCGGAGGAAAAGATCGCATCGGCGACGTAAAAAGACTTCGAAAAGAGAAAGCGATCGACCGAGGCGAGACTGTTTCGCGACGCTTTGCGTCTGTGTACGAGGTCGCAGCTCGGATGAGCTAAGAGCTTGCAAATGCACGTCGTCTCACGAGATTCCTTCGCATCGAGAGTACTCTGTTAAAGTTAATCGTTAATCTACAACATAAAAACCGCATTACGTTAATTCCAAATGAATAATGATTTCTAATTGTCTATCATGTAACAATATTTTAATACATATTATTTTTTTTCGATAAGATCTTTTTTTTTAATTGAAAATTAAGATTAAAAAATTAAATTTCTTTTTGTTATTTTTGTTCGAGGAATATATTATTGAGCAAGGCGTCCGATGTATATAAGAAAAAGAGATACAAATTGAACAAACAAAAATATCAAGATAGAATTACGCTGCTGCGAATTATCGACTTTTTATAGGGCGGACAAGAAGGGACAAAACGAGTAACTTGTAAAAACGTATCAAAGAATGATACACAAGTGGGTAGATATACGGATCCATCGACCAGCGAGAAAAAATCTGCATTCAAATTTCATTCGCGCGAATTATCGGCAGCAAAACCAAAGTTAGCACATTCGTATTTCTTATGTAACAAGATAGCGTTTCATTAACGCCTTCTACTTATCGACATTTGCAGTGAAGAACGGAGCGTGATTATCAGAGGGTTACATACCGTTCGCAGAGGAATTGACAGATTTAGTGCTAGCGCAATCAGATTGGTGACAAGACAACAGTAATTTAGCTTTGGATGGGCTGGTATTCTTTTTAAAATGTTTGTATTTATATTTTTACGCAATGTGATACACAAATCATTTTCATCCAACATACAAATTCTATGCAAATTCATTGCTTTAATATTAAATATATGAATATTTCTTTATACATTTTGTATTAAAAACAAAAATAATGTATTTTAATTGAAAGGAATTGTTAAAATAACTTTGCCAGTGTCCATCTTGTTTCCCATATTATAGTGATGCATATTTCTATACATGTATATAATAAACTATTTAAAAGGAGGAGAAAAACTATATAACAATTTTCTTCATATTAGTTTCGATTTTTATACTGCTTGGAAACTGGTTGCAAGTTTTAATATTTTAAAAACATCAGCCAGTTTAACGTTTTGAAAATATCAAATACCATTTCTCTTTTCGACAATTTATTCAGTATTATTAAAGAATTCACAAAGCAGTCCTTGTGTGGAATTACACTAAAATATATCTGAAATTCGGTATATCGAGGAAACTGTAACCTGAGCTGAATCGAGGATTATTAATTGGATATTGAGTATACTTGTGTATGTATTATGTCTCGATATTGTTATCTAATATACATTACATGAAAGTAACAATGTGTGATTTTATATGCGCCGCATTATCTTTCTATATAACAACTTTGAGACAAAGATGATGATATACAAAATTCGCCGCAACTGCATCAACATAATAGTCTATTACGAGAGGTCCATTTATAAATATTATATTCCACATATATTGCCAGAGGCAGTGGTCATGAATGAGGTCAATCAATGTCAATTATGTTATATACCATTTTGTTATATCACCTAAAACATATATTCCTTCGTACTCACTCGTAACTTTCGGCTAATTGTCAATTATCAGAATGTCGCGTATATTCATACTACACATGCAAACGTATCGCGTTTCCATCGAAATGAAATAAAAAAATATTTTTTTTTTTGTGGACATATTCTACATGGGCACAATCTTTTCAAGAAGCGTCAAAAGCTTCGAACAAATCAGCTTCGATGCGAAGTTCCGTGTGGTTTGTCAGGCCGAGACGAAGGCTCGCTGAGAGTAAATTAAGCTATTATATATTACGTACGCGTATGAGAAATGAGTCTCAAAACATTGGAATGATCGGTCCCGCTTCAAAGAAACCACCGATCGCTAGCGTAGTCAGCGCATTGTCGAGTCGAACGAGGCGAACGCTGCCTCCGCGTATCACTCAAAATGTAGCGCGAAACTCGAATGAATTAGGCTAAAACGCGTGTGCAACAAGCGCTCGAGTTTGGCAAGTCGGCGAGTAAATATTCTTCTACCGCGATATTATTATCTCAGCGTCCCATCTCGTGGGAAGAGACATGTATATGAACGAGGAAATGCGAATTCACCGCGAACTACGTCGGCTAGTGCTCCGTAACTGTTTCTCAATTTCAAATTGCCGTAGATCCGCCCTCTGCAGAAAATCTTGCCGCTCCAAATATCCGTCCTTGCCTTTATTATGAGTATTAATTTCCTCCTCAATGTTTTCCTGTTTCTTGAAGTTGTCCCAATCTAATTTAGACTTTTCTAACGTACTAATTTTGGCCTTTTTCCCGATTTGTCCCAGAACCGAGGAGATGCCGCCTAATCCGGCGCGCTTGACACCGCCTCGCACGCGTTCCTTGGCCGCGGGAGATGTAGATTCCGATGGCTTTGTGGCGGAATTCTCGGCCGAGGAAAGTGATAATCTGGCCTCCGCGGAATCAGCTGATACTTCCTTCTCGACCTTCACTTCTTCACCAGCAAATTCAAAAACCTTGGTTATCTTAACTTTTTCTTGGACTTTTGGCTTTTGAATCGGTGGCGATCTCTCGTTCGATCTATTGATTGAATTTTGTGGTTTCGATTTCGATATGACAGCTGTAACAAAAATATATATAAAAGCGTATTGTACATTCTTTAAATTTCTGTAGATATTAGCTTTATTTAAATAGGATTATATATTTCTATCGACTCAGTTTTTTTAAAATGTAAATGGTAAAGTTCAAAAATATTCTTAAATGCGTCTTCAAAAACTGTATTATAGATATTATAATCCGAATCACTGTACTTTGTTCTTTAAGATAAACGATTTCTTAAGTATTATATCGTACTATTTCGTTATAACAAGTGGGATTTTTTTATTATGTGAAATAGTACAATATAATACTTAAGAAATCGTTATATTATATAATGTAATTATATAATGCAATTCAATAATATGAAATTCTATTGTATTAATATTCTGTACACACCTGTATCCTTCATGAAATCAGCCCAAAGAGAATCTGCTCTCTTCTTTTCCTCCTCTTCAGTGAGCTGCTTTTCCTCTTTACATTCTTCTTCCTCTTTACTTTCTTCTTCCGATACTTTCGACTTTTCTAAAGTTCTTCTGCGCTTTGCCTTTTTACTTTTTCGACCCTTGGATCTCTTTGCATCTTTCCGTCCAGTTTCTCTTTTGTTCTCATCATTTTCATCCTCTGGACCGCTCTCAATATCACCCTCAGACTCTACTTCAGACACCGGATCACTGTCGGCGCCATCAGGAACATAATCCTCGTCATCCTCATCCGAATCAGAAGGCAATTGATGTTCTTCTGACATGTTTAAATATAGATTAGTATAGAAGATACCTAGAAACAGACGATAAAAGTATGTATCTACCTAAAAATATATCATGTATTTATTATGATTCAACATACATATTTTCATTTTAAAAATCAAAATTTTAAAATTTTATCATAAAAATATTTTATTTAAATTTTATCATATTTCTCTGCCAAATTTACAAACGTGATTACATCCTGTATTTCTCTTTTACTGATAACAATATATTTTACAGGTAACTAATATATTATATTAATACACAATAAAGTTAAAATATTCATAAAATAAATATAAATACATAGTCTTTTCAATTTATTTTATTCATTTTTATTTCGCAATTTTAAAATTGTCACAGAATACTAGATGCTATAAACGGCAATTAATCTTCAATTAATAATTAATTTAGGCTTTTTTTTACATTGGTTCAATCGCTATTCAAATACAATATTTTCTAACTAAAGGCTATTAACTTTAATACTGACGTTCCTTTGTTCGGTATTCAAACAAAGCTACCGAGCACGAAGGAAAAAAAAAAAAAAAACACCGCAAATTGAAAATTCTCGCGCAAATTATCGCGCCTCTTCCCGCACTGTCAACGTCACGTAACTTAACCTCTCTAATCACGCGGAACAGGTCGATTTCCCCGGCGGAACTAAACGCGACAACCGATGCGATTTCGTGACTCACGTTCTTTCGGAACGGCGTGCCGTCGGTGCCAAAAATTCCGCGAGCGGACGTCGGTTCGCCTTCCGGAAATGTCGTTACACCGAGACGCGGCGGCGGATCCGGCGTTTTCGTCGCCGCGTTCATGAATCGTCGTCGGCGCGGGCCTGAATCGATCCCGCGCGTATCACGCACGGGCGTGGAGCACCGGCTGGCCGAAAAATCCGTGAGGAACACCCGGGGAAAAAGGGAGCACAGCACCTCGAGTACCTCACGACAGTACGACACGCTCGTCTCGATTCGACTCTTCTCGGCTCCGTCGATTCGCGCAAAATACGCCTGGCACGTATATATATATCGCACGTCGCGCTATCGGCACAACCAGCACCATCTTACAGCGAATCGAGGAGACATCAAGTCAAGTTAGCGCAGTCGTGCCGACCGCGTGCGAATTGAACTCGAGTTAAAATTTTTCTAATTGCGATTAGAATTGAATTTATATCGGAGATTTTTCGATAGGAAGATTTCTTGTCGGTTCCTCTTTTTTGTTCGATATTTTTATGATCAATGTTTTAATCCGATCGAGTGGAAGAATCAGCGGGATTTTTAGCTTATTATATATTGAAGTCAAATTACAAAAATATTTTTGTTCTTTTAAAATTCACTTTTGAATGATCTGTGATTCGCATCAGACTTCAGAATAGAATTCAAATTAATTTAGAATTTCGTATACCGCGTATTTTGATATACGTGTATATATATATTTAAATATATGTATGTATACATATACATGTATATAATGTATATCATGCACGTAAATCAAAATTTGTACATCTCAAATTTTTCGTATATATTATACAGCACATAAAATTATAAATAGAATTCTCTTTTGAATTCTAATGCAAATTATAGATCATAAAGTAGATTTAAAATAGATAATTAGTTTTATTTAACTGATCATTTGCATGCATATTTAACTTTCACTTATCTTAATATATAATTTATATGTAAATTAAATTATAATAAATACATGAAATATTTTCAGAGTAAATGGATGGTATAAATTCGATATAAAAATAACATTGCTCTCATATTGTTTTCAATTAAATCTTAATTACATTTCAAGCGCAATTGTAATTTATTAAACTCACTGTTCTCGACGATAAAAGATGTAATAATATACTCTTTGACAAAAAAGAGTTACGCAGAGATCTAGATACGTAACTTTTTTGTCAAAGAGTATATTATAAAATCTACAAAAAAGTCCGCTGTATTTTCGCTAAAAAGGATCGATACTAAAATCTCTATCAAAGAATATTAATATAAGATACTAAATCTGTTCACAATATTTTTTCGCTTGAACTAGGTGTTAAGTATACCGCTCTTATTCACGATTCGTTATAAATCTTTTAAATGACTCCACGAGACACGTTGGTAAGGAAAAGGTCGGGGAGTGTCGGATTGCCTGCAGACATCTTTCATGAATTTGTCGAGCAATAACTTAACGCCTTCCTCCAGTATCCTAAGTAGGATCAGCAGGGGCCACCGCAAACCTCATATTACAGGATCCATTTCGAATCCTAATTTCGACGAAACGGATGACTGCCGGTTGACGGGGGATGTGCGATGGATTATGAATCAGAGCCGACCCTTCCTCTCGAGGCGAAAGTCTGAATAGATGAGAACGGAGAGGAATGGTAACGATCGCGTATGCGCGTCGAGGAAATACAGTCGTAGGACATAATTCGAAGTCATTGCTAGATATTGGTCCAATATATACTAGCAATTGGACGAATTAATTTCCATCGCAATTTCCCGGAAATACACGAGAAGTTCTGCATGTTAATATAATTCGATACGCCAACAATTACGCAACTATGTGAGCTTGTGCGTGATTAAATAATAATTACGCATATTTCAACGTATAGCGCTAAATGTGGCCTCCGAGCTCGAGATAATATTGTGAAGGATTTATAAAGGAAGGTTAAAGCAAAATTTAATATAAATTTATATAGAGTATTATAATACATATTATAATTATGAGAATATATCTAAAGAGCATCTCTTTTTGTTAAATTGATAATATTTTTCCTGATTTTGTTAAATACGAAATAGTACTTAAGAAGTCGTTTATCTTAAAATACGACGGGCAATGGTGATGATAAGAAACTAAAATCTTCCACATCTAAAACGTTATCTATAATTGTTTATTAAGTATATAGTCTTTGAAGATGTGTCTAAGGGCATCTTTTAATGTCGTCTAAATCATCTGAATAGGAATGTACGCGATTCTATTTAAAAACTGGTGTAACAGTAATATCTAAAAAGAGATAAAAGCAGATAACATACTTTTATTATTTTACAACTGTGTTAAAATTGAAACCGCAGAATCCAATCGACAAGTCGGAATCTGGAAATGTGTCGGAACTAAAGCCACAGAATCCAATCGATAAATTGGAAATCGCCACCTACGTGAAAGTCAAAAATTCACGCGACAAAGTTTCAGAATTAGAATGTTTAATGCGGGATATTAATGCTGGTCTTGATTTCTTCCTTCTTGCATTTTCATCGACAAGGAGAGAGAAAGAAAGAGAGAGAGAGAGAGAGAGAGAGAGAGAGTGAGGAAAGGAAGAAGACCAGGAAGGATGTGCCAGGTGGCTACGAATGTCGTGGCGTTCCCGCGGATTGGATCGAGCAGCAACTCAGAAAACGATTTGAGACGAATGAGACTTGGCGACTGATGTTCGAAAGCTCCGCCTGGTTTTCGGGACGTCCCAAATCTCTACGTCCCTCCAACGAACATATCTTCCGTATGTCTCATTCTCTTAGTATTTGCGTTACTCCTCCCGGTCCAGCCTTCAGCTTCTGTGCTGCGAGAACATTGACTAACAATTAGTTACACGCCGCAGATGCGATCTGTGAGGTTTCGCCCTGCCGATAGACTCGTGATATCGTGAACAGAAAGAGGAGTAATCGATCACAAGGTATCGAGGAAGTTTTATCATTAATTGTGCTGCGCTAAGTATTAATTCAGATGCAAGTGACAACGACGATGATCAACGATCTAAGTGTAACTATCGAAAAAAGAAAATAGTGTTTTTATAGTATTTTTTACAAGCCACGTGATAGTTTTATACTTTGGTTTTTTTGGGATCTTTATCATGATAATTGAGTTTAAACAATTAAGTTTAAAAAGTTAAAAAAACGGAGATTTGGGACAGCTCGCTATTTTAGACTTTGTCACTTGTGCTATTTATTTGAAGTTCTGTGTTATAAATATCTATTGTTATAGACAGCTGGTGTTAAAAAAAAAAAAGAAAAAAGGTTTTGTGCCTTTAAAAATTGAATATGTGCAAAGTGCAGACTTAAACAAAATGTTGAAAATTATTATTACTAAAATTATTGTCTCTAAAAGTAGTAATTTGCGTTTTTATTTTAAGTTAATGTCAAAAAGATATTTCCAAAATAATTTTTTTCTTTTAATCTCGTATAATACTAAACACGGAATGTAAATTCGTAATTTACGAAGTTTTCCGAGTAAATTTAGAGTCTACGACATAAAAGCGCGTGAGATATTAAAAGAAAATTACTAGCTTTTAAAAATCTGTCTAAAGAGATAAATATATAGAATTGTACTAAATAAAAATTTATCTAATTTTCGACTCAATTTCGACTTTCGTATAAAAATTAAACAACGCGAATCGAGAGAAAGCTTTTCGCGTTCGATAATTGTATTGGAGTTCTGCTTATATGCTAATTAAATTTTAAGAACTCTCTATTGCGTTATTACGTGCTTTTATAAAGAACTAATCACTTTAATCATTCATTGTTTTTACAATCATTATTTGTTGATGAATGGATTTGTTGATTAATTATACATTGTAAATACATAGCCTTGCTATGATAATTTGATTGTATTTGCATTGCATGATTCTGTATGTTAAATCTTTTCGGTATGAAAGAAAAGGAATAAGAACTTTAGTACTCTTTATTTAGCGGATTATAATTAATTATCTTATATTTTTTGTCTGCGTAAGGAATATTTAATAAATTCTATCTTTCAAAGAAATAAAATAGAAATTTTTAACATGATGAAGAAAACTACGCTCGTTCTTTCTCTCTCTCTTTTTCTCTCTGATTAAATAAACAATTCTTAGAAATCCTCTTTCATTGCGGTAAATAATTACGTGCCTCGTAATTTACGAAATTAAGCATAATTGTCGAATAATTAATTAACAATAGCTGTTATTGATGCAACAGAATGCCTCGAAAACGGCGCGTCTCGACATCGTCGTTGGAGGACTATCCTTCTGAGGAAAAATATATGAAGGATGACATGGACGGTCGCGCTCCGCGAAACGCTGCAAACGCCCGTGAAAGGGCAAGGATGAGAATTTTATCAAAAGCTTTTTGCAGACTGAAAACGACGTTGCCTTGGATTCCTGCCGATAGCAAATTAAGTAAATTGGATACCTTGCGTCTGGCTGCGACGTACATTGCTCATTTGCGAGCAGTACTTCGAGATGATGGAGACGCGCATACTGAAACCACCAAATCTTTGTCTCTGGCTTTGGTAAGTATCCATCCTTATTGAAATTGGAATAACTAATTATGGAATAACTAATAGATAAGCTTCCCTTCTTTTCTGATTTTTGAGACATTAATGTGAGACATTAATTAACTTTAAGTAACATTAATAAGAACGGTTGTATGCGTAGTAAATTGAAAAATTTTATAGTCGAGCAAAAATGTTTGTTAATTAGCAATTAATTCATTAATCATAAAAGAGAGTTATTAGTATAAAAAGTATATATATTTAATAAAAAGAGATCCTAAATAGAAGTGTCTTTTTAAAACCATATCGTAAAGAATTATAATTGCATTCTCATTCTGTGGGATATTATTGCAAGATATTCTACGAAATGTGGAAACAAGATTGTTGATTTACCTGATTTAAATCGGGGATCCAAGTGAGTTATTTCCAAACTATGTATTTCTCGCTCTTACAATCAGACTTTCGACTTGATAACGATTCCGTAAAATAACACAGAGACCAGGTGGATCCACTCGGAGTCGCGAGCGCCGTCTTCGCAGTCATCCACTCTGTTTATGTCTGTCCAGGTGGATCGAATCACTCCAAAAACCTTCCACCCACCCTTTGCCACCATTAATTCTAAGTTAGTTCCGTTGTTTGAAGAAGCATACCATGTTTTCCGCTGCGAAATACTTGGTCTCTCTCTCTCGTTGCTCTCCTCTCTCGCGAAGATCAAAGAACGGCTTTCTATCTGTAAAAATGTTTCAACGCAGACACGGATTCGAATAAATTCAAGCTGACACTAAAAGAAGTAATATCTCGCGATAGTACATAAATAAATATCTAATTTACAATGCAGTATCAATACATCGACGCTTGTAATTAATTAATATTTCACGGCGCGTTGCATAATCTAATTCATAATTGATGCATTTTAATTCGATTCAATAATAATACGAAGTAAAAATGATTTTTAATTACAGTCGTGGCCATTCGCCATTCAAAGCAACAACGCGGCCACGCTTATGAACAACAGTTGCAACGTGTCCTCCTCGACGTCTTCGAGCTGTAATCAGTATCGAGGACAGCAAGAGACTCATGATATCCAAAACTACCATCATTCAGGTCATCAGGGCGTGTCGGCGCGTCATAATCAGGAGCAACAGCTCTCTTATTACTGACAAAAAATTCTGACAATCCAATCAGAGCTTAACTATAACGAGCGATATCTACGAAGAACTATCCCCAACTGAGTTAAACGACGGTATTCACGCTATCGTGTATTCACGCCTTATTTATTCCAGAGTGCCTTACTCTAGTATTTATTGATTTAATCTTAATGTATCTTAATTATGATTGCACCCTCCACTTGTGCGACAAGGGAATGAAATATTCCTGTCTCGACTGTATGCATTTTTTATATATCGAAGAAATATAGTCTGTTTTGCATATTTTTAGAAGTTTTAAAGTTTTAAGAAACAAAATTATACGAGTGAAATAAGTAAAATCATTTTTGTTCTATTTCACAAGGAGAAGAACAAATATCGAAAATTTAATCTAAAGTTCTCGATTAATTTGACCCCGTGAAGGGATATCATACATTCGCGAAGAGACTGTTTCCTTGTGTCATACACTCAATTTTACTGCAATTATATCATATATTATTGTAATCATGATTGGTACCAAAGCATGTTAACTAGTCCAATAAAAATGTTTCTAAGATTTTCAAAAATTTCTTTTGTATATTATTCAATACAATATTATATTAATTTAGATCATTATAACAATATACAGAGTAGTAAAATTGTATCGATAAGCTTTATCGTTGGAATTTATAACGATTTTTCAGATTAAAGATACAGTATGTTAAAGAACTTTTTCGAGAATAAGAACCGACGTGATGCTTCGTTTCAAAGATACATCAAATTAAAAGGTGATGGTTGAGCACCTGTTGACAGGCAACCATACAGCTATTAATGATTTATTGCTCGCGAAATAACAATCGATAACAGTTTAACACACAGGCATATAATATCTCTGTACATATCTTACATCTCTATATACATCCCTAAAATATATTGTATAATTTTGTTATATTTTATATATTATATTGTCAGCAGAGAGTATTTTAATTATGCAATGTACTTAAGATATTAATAATAGTTATTAAAATAGAAGATTAGCCACAAAGAATGTCTTTAGTATCTTAATTAAAAATATTTTTATAATTTAATTTCAATTATTTTGTGTTATTTTATACCGCCTGTGTGACCGCCTTGTGACTTTGTAAAAAAATACGATCGATATCTTTTGTTGGAGAAACGCCGAGTGACATCCGGAACAGCACAGAGGAAGTCCGCGGTAAGGTAAGAAGGATAAAGAAGTTCAAGTAAAATAAACAGCGTGAAGGGCCTTTTGTGTAAACCTAATACTAAAATAATATATCCCACACGGCGACAAATCGACCGGCACTAAACGTATCGCTTAACGTGTCTTTACAACAACATACACGGGCTTAAAAATTCTTAAACGAGAGCTGATGGTTTCTCTTCGCCGTTTTCTGACTACCCTTAAAAATTTTCATCGCGCACTATTTTTGTTCGCCATATGTTCGAGGTACACAGATATCGCGGCTGCTTTTTATCTTGATAATCTAAATAAAGTTATATTTTTTAATGAATTTATATGATTTTCTTAGATAAATCTGTTTTTCTTTTTATTTCATATGCCATGTTAAGAAAAAGTTAACTTTGAAAGTATATAGTATTTATTAAGAAAAATTGTTTAATCAATATAGCTTGAAAAATATATTACATAGGCTAAAAAAGATATTCCGTTTTCATAATATAGATAATATGCATTTTTCTATGGATTTAAGTTATTTTTTTAATAGATATAAATTGATTCTTTTTTTTATTTTTATACAAATTAAAAAAAAGGTTTTGAAAGCGCGTAGTTTATTAAGAGAAATAAAAGTTATTTAATCAATGTACTTTGACACATAAATCTCGTTAAAATAGAAACGATCATATTCTGTCATGGAAATATAGATAATTTGCTTGTACCTTTGTAAAAATTTATATAATTTTTAAGAGTAAATCAATTTCTCTCGTTATTCTATATATAAAATTTGAGATGTTTCATACATAGAAGAGATATTTTATTCCGATATACTTCGGACAAGAAAAAATATCTATCTGTAAAAAAATATGCAGAAGGATATATTACATTTTTTTCGCATAATTCTATATGTAAGAACTACAAACGAGAATTTGCATTATTAACACCCAAAATTTATTTCCATTTTTTTAATCACCATTCGATCTTTCAACCTAATTAAATCGTTAATTAAATCGTCCTTCACGATTGTTATACGGCTCTACAAATGCTGGATTTTTTTTCTGTCAACGCTCTTTAGACGTGAAGACAGAAAATCTATCGCTAAAGAGGTCAGAATAAAATATCGCAAAAATCACCTATAACACGCAGCGAATCCAAGTCGGAGTTTCGAAAGACATTTCGACAAGCTGACGGGGTGGCTCTCGAGATATTGAGAACCCGATGAGTCCCGAGCACCGGGATTTCGTGGTAGCGCAGCGAAATTTCCGGGAAGCGAGGTCATTTCGCGCCTTTTGCCAATTGCAACTGCGCACGTGTGACGCCGATCTCGCCGCGAGGCGTCGCACGGCACTTTTCACGCACACACAGCTATATCAACTTGTATCCGGTGATGCGCGGCGCACCTGATTAGTGCTCTGCGAGCACAACGGAGAGCAGACGGGACAGGAGCGGAGCAGAGCGGAGCGGGAGCGGAGCCAAAGCTGAACCGTGCGGGAGCGGAGTGGGAGGTCGGGGAGGTCCAGTCACCTCACCAGTGTCAGAGTGTCCGGCCCTGACGCGAGACGTCGATCGATCCCCCATCACGCTGTGTCGTTTCGTACGTGGTATACGTCGCGTGATTTCATGATGTAGCGCCTAGGCGGGTGATCTCATCCCCGGGGTAGGCAGAGAGATCGTCGCAGCTGACGCGGATCGCGGCTCACGGTAATCCGCTCGCGTCTAATCGAAGTCTATAACAAACGCGGCCTCGCGCGACGATCGTCCTCCTTCTCTGCAAGAGAAAGAGAGAGAGAGAGAGAGAGAGAGAAAGTTCCTCGCTTCCGTCTCTCGTCGGCCATCCCGTGTTGTGTTCCCATCGTTCCCGACGTCGTTGTCATCGTGCACGCGGAGGCAGTGCGCTGCTCCGGGGACGGAGAGCGCGTGGAGCCCTCGCGGGGCCAGGTGTCGAAGCGCGAATCGACGGCACGGCGTCAAGATGGCGTGTGCCACGAGCACAGCTGTTGTTTACCCACAAACCCGTCGTGTGGTGCGAGCCACTGGCTCTGGTTACTGCTGCTGCTGCTGCTGCTGCTGCTGCCGCGGCTGCTGCTGAGGAGCGAGAGGACGAGCGCGTGGCACGGGCGTCTGGCCTGGCTCCCCGTCGTCGGGACTCTGGTCGGGGACGATGGGAGATGCTCGACGAATGAGCGGGTCGGAGTAACGGAGTAAACCCGTGCGTGAGCGACGTGTGACGGCGACGTGACGAGAGCGTGACAGCGACGACGTCGACGACGACGACGACGACGACAACGACGACGGCGGCGGCGGTGGTGGTGGCGGCGGTGGTGGAGGCGGCGACGGCGGCGACGGAGTTGGTGGCAGTGTCGGTGGCGGCGGCGACGGCGGCGGCGGTGACGGCGACGGTGGTGGTGGTGCTGGTGGTGGTGGTCGTGGTCGTGCTGCTGTTGGTTGTAGCAGTGGTGGTGGTGCGTCGCGAAAAAAACGGGACGCGCGAAGACGGACTCGATGGAAGAGGGTAGCGGTGCCCGCGGCGGCAGAAGTCACCGAGTCAGCGCGTGAAACTTAACCTAGTTGCGTCCGCCATCGCACGGCACGAGGACGGCGACGGGGACGAGGGCGACAACAACGACGACGACGACGACGACGACGACGACGACGACGACGAGGAGGCGGTGCGATCTCGGGAAGGTGCAGCTGTCTCGATACCGAGGGGGAGGAGCGGCGAAGTTGGTTCGCGCCTTCGGCGACAAGTGCGTTATCCTCCTAGTGGCATGGCTCCCCCTCCCCCGCCCATCCGTCCTTTCGTCCTGCTTGAGAGCAGGCCTCGTTGCGTTACGTAAAAAGCGCGAACGTTGAGATCGCGCGCGATGCCGCGATCGGTGCACGCGAGATCGACGTCGTCGTGTTTGTGCATCCGCTTGTCTTTTTCATTCCCCAGCTGCCTTCGAAGCTACGTCCACGTGTGTGTCAGCATTGCGTCGTGCGTGCACTTCGTCTTATTAAATTCCCAGCGGTTTCGAGGTTAGGCTTGCCGACTCGCACGTTCGGCCTCGCGAAAGCTGCTCGTTGTTTTCTTTGAATAATAATAATGAATTGACGGACACGTGTCTCGGCTTTTGTAGGTGGAGTTAATCTCTTGCTATTGGTTCTTTTTTTATTGCCCTTTGTTATCTTATTGTGCTCGACTCAATATCTGGGGACTATATATGAATCCACTTCTTTGTCACCTCTTTATCCATCCGTGTGAAAGGGAAATGTTTTGCTGCATTGTGTCGCATCTGCGGACAGCTTATTGTCTAATCTATTCGTGATTTATTATTTTTATACAAGTCCTTGGGATTTTTCTGTTGTCTTTTTTAAAAATATTGATAAAATGTAATGACGGCGATGCAACATTTTGATTTATTGTTAGCATGACTTTTGTAAATTCTTCTTGGTTGCTGTAGACGTGTCGATAATTTTTATAATTGTTCACTTCCTTATATCTCGTTAATTTTATTTATTCATCGAACATATATACCATCGAGAAATTGTGGCAAGTAGCTGTGATGTGTTTTCCACAGGTATCACCATGAACGCCAGGACGCAGCTGTTCGAATTGAGCATGGAGGGACGTCAGGTGGACGAGGCAGTGGCAAGTATATTCCATAGCGTGCTATTCCATCGGAGCCTCGGCAAATTCAAGTACAAACAGGAGGGCAGCTACTCGGTGGGCACCGTGGGATACCAGGACGTGGACTGCGACTTCATCGACTTCACCTACGTCTGCTGCTCGTCGGTGCACCTCGACCAGACGCTGAAGCGCGAGATATCCGGTTTCTCGGAGGCGCTGCGCTCCACCGACAGTCCGGGCTCCGGCCAGATATCCCTAGAATTCTTCCAGAGGAAAAAGAGCCGCTGGCCGTTCCAGCCGGAGTGCATACCGTGGGAAGTGTGGACCGTGCGTCTTGAACTTATCAAATTGGCCACCGAGCACGAGCGGCAGATATGCCGGGAGAAGGTGGGCGACCTGCTAACCGACAAGATCCTCTACATCACCGAGGTCATGAATCGGCACGACTACATTCCGAAAGTGCCGAGTCAGGCCGAGCTGGATCTGATCTTCGACACCTCGTACCCGGACATACAGCCGTATCTCTTCAAACTGTCTTTCACGACCTCTAGTCCGTCGACCACTACGATGGGCAATACTATGAAGAAATTGATCAGAGAGACGCTATCCATTTAGTCGTTATAACATATAGATATATACATACATACATACATACATATATAT